TTCTTAATTTATTGGAATATTTCTACAAATAGACTTTTTCTTTCCTCAACCATTTGATTACATGGAAGTACAATTCATAAAGGAGAGGCAGTTTAAATGCTTAATTATTTTCTCTTATTTACCAGTTTTTGAATAATGAGCTTGTTCTTTAGCATTCTCAAAGGGACCATTGATATTTTAAAAGTATCATTAGAAGTGCATAGATTTTTGAAATGTATTCCATGTGTCAGTTCATTGCAGCTCATTTTTTTTTCAAGATTTACTTATTTACTTGAGTGGCAGAGTTACAGAGAGAGGGAGAGACAGAGAGGTGTTCCATCCACCAGTTCACTACCCAATTGGCTGCAATGGCCAGAGCTGGGCCAATCTCAAGCAACAAGCCAGAAACTTCTTTTGGCTCTCCCATGTGGGTGCAGGGGCCCAAGCACTTGGGCTCTCTTCCACTGCTTTTCCAGGCCATTGGCAGGGATCTGGATTGGAAGTGGAGCAGTCAGGATTTGAATTTATCCTCTGTCAATTAATATTCTTAAAGTATAGGACATCCCTCCAATTCTGACTTTGGCTCTTTTCTTTTCATTCCGTTCATTGTCTTTGTCAATCTTCTTTCCTCAAAGGCTCCAGCTAATGTTATTCTGCTAAAGTCCATCAGATATAGATCTAGATTTTATGTATTCCCAGTTTCAGACCCCTTTGACTAGCTTGGGAAAACACTAAGAGAAGACACTGGCTTATAAAACCAGCCTAAGGGGGCTGGTGCTGTGGCGTAGTCGGTAAAGCTCCTGGCTCCTGGCTTCGGATTGGCACAGCTCTGGCCATTGCTGCCAACTGGGGAGTAAACCAGTGGATGGAAGACCTCTCTCTCTGCCTCTCCTTCTCTCTCTGTGTAACTCACTTTCAAATAAATAAATAAATCTTTAAAGAAAAAAACAGCCTAGGGAAGGACATGGACCCAGGAGCTTCTTCCAGGTCTCCCATGCAGGTGCAGGGGCCCTAGGACTTGGCCATCTTCCACTGCTTTTCCAGGCTACAGCAGAGAGCTGGATCAGAAGTAGAGCAGCCAGGACTTGAACCGGCACCCATATGGGATGTCGGCGCTGCAGGCGGTGGCTTTCTCCACTACGCCACAACGCCTGCCCCTGGATAAGATTAATATTTGAATTGGTAAAGTAGACCAGATGGCTCTCTTGAATGTAGCTAGGCCTCATCCCATCACTTGAAGGCCTGAATGGAACAAAATGACCAATGTTCTCTCCAGTAAGAGGGAACTCTTCCTGCCGACTGTGTTAATCTCCCATGCAAGTGGCCTGACTGCTTTGATCCTCTGTCCAAATGGCCACAATGGTCAGGGCTGGGCCAGGCTGAAGCCAGGAGCCCAGAACTCCATCCAGGTCTCCCACATGGGGGCCTAAATACTAGAGCCATCCTCTGCTGCTTTTGCAGGCAGATCACCAGGGAGCTGGATCAGAGCAGCTGGACTTGAACTGGCACTCGGATATGGAATGCCAGAGTAGCAACCAGTGGCTTAACTAGCTACTCCACACCACAGCACCTCCTCACGGTTCTTAAACCTAATTTCCTTCCGTCTGAAACTATTGGTCTCCAGCTTGCTGATTCACCCTGAAGATTATGGGATTTTCCAACCTCTGTAATTCTGTGGGCAGGTCCCTTATAATCGACCTCTAACATCTGTTGTGTTTTTCTCGAGATTTCTGAATAATACAGGTGGTTATTCTACTTCGAACTGATCAGCCACCTTGTAACTTCCTTCTGTGGGGCTGCTGAAGCCCACATGGTGTTGTCTTCGATGATTTAGTAGCAATGCTCATTAATGCTTCCAGGGTTTGTTCAATAATGATGCACAAGGAGTTTGTCACTGACTACTATCCATAGATTCTACATGGTGTCAAGCAAGCAAAATCTATTTCTCCCAAAAGGGAGATTTACAGGACTCTCCCATTGAAACTGGCAGCTTTGATGATGTGAGGAGAAAGAAGCATCAGAAAGGAATAATGGCTCAGGGCCTAAAGCCACAGAGACAAAGAACAGCCTGTTGACGGTAGTCAAGCTCCTAAGAGCTCAATGTGTAACATCTTATATCTGTATTTAGAGGAAGTCCATAAGCAAAGTCTCATAGCAAAGGAGGGACAAAAGGAGTAAACAAGGAGCAATGGGTTCGGCAGTCTTCATGTGCTTTACAGTGGTTCTCTCGCTTGGTCTTTATATAAACCTGTGAGGAAGGTATCTTAGGACCCACTTCTTTTTAAAAGAGAAAACTCAGGTTCCAGGTAGTTGTGTGGGTTGGCTCAGGTCAGTGACTCTACAGTGGTAGTGTGAAGTTTAAACTTTGTTGTCCTTGACCACTCCTTGTACAGAAGTGTGTAGAGACCAATGTTGGTGCCGGCTGTATGAACCTGCGCATACAGATATATACAGTTCTCATTCCAGGGCAGGAGTTTAGTTTTTTTTTTTCTCAACTCATCCTTCTATCTTGAAAGTTTTGGATTAAATAACTCTTCTAGGAATTGCTCGACAATCAATTTCTAGACTGAGTGGGTCCCATTTATTTTTAACATTTTAAAAATTTAAATGTTTTTTATTTGGAAGGGAAAGAGATAAAGAGATACAGTGAGACAGAGATAGAAATCTTTCATGCTCTGGTTCACTTCCCGAATGCTTATAATAGCCAAGTATGGGCCAGGAAGAGGACAGGAGCCTGGAACTGAATCTGGGTCTCTCACATGAGTGGCAGGAACTCAAGTACTTGTGCTATCCCCGGCTGCCTCCCAGGGTGTGCATTAGAAGGAGGCTAGAATGGGAAGCCAAGCTGAGACTTGAACCCAGGAACTCTATATGGGACACAGGCATCCCAACTGGCATCTTCACTGATGCGCCAAATGTCCACCCCTTCTCTGTCTGTTAAAGGCAAGATTGTACCTAAAGAGACAAAACATGATAAGCACCTCTTTCTTCCACAGAAAGTGGCTTCAAATGGTCTTTTTCTGTGTTCCTATTAAGTAGTTTGTTCAAGCACTATCCTAATATTTTGAACACATGTGCTTATTAATAATATACCAATCTTAGGAGGTTGATGTAATTATTTACCACCATTATTTTCAGATGAAGTGAAGTACTTAATTAGTTGTCCATTATCAGAAACTAAAGCTTGATTTGGGGCTGGGATGATTTATTTACAGAGTCTGTGTCATTTTGCCTCTCATTGTCTGGTTTCTGCACTGGGGGACATGAGGGGAACCAAAGGAAGCATGGAGCTGTCACCCAGTGGGTACTTACTGTGTCTCAGCACACATGTGTCAGGCATCTTGCTTTGTTCTCCCAACCCTCTGCTGCCTGCAGGCTCCACCTCTCAAGGGAAACTAAGCCACCCTACCCCTGAGATAAAGAGAGAAGCCACCCTACACAGAGATGAAGAGATAAGACTCTGATATGGCCCAAGAACATGGCAGAACCCTGTTAGGAGGGAATGGAGAATTTCTTGGGAGGGAAGTGCCTTGTCTTAGTAAGGCAGCTAGTGGATCTTGGTGGGTGTAATTGGCTATTGGAGAAGAACCCACTCAGAGCTGAGGCCACAGGACAAAGGCAGGTCTGTCTCCATGGGAGCTTCTCTCCTTCCACTTCCTCTCGCTTGGAGTACAAAGAGGATCACAAAAGAAGGAGCTGACGTTTTCTGCTTAGATGTTCAGTTCAATGCCACAGGGAGAGGTGCTCTATCTTTGGGGTTGGACTTGGCAAGTTTCTTCCTGCTGTGGACATAAGATCCAGAGGTCTGAGAATGGAATATACTAATGGCAGTGGCCCCAGGGAGAGGTTTATTTGCCCACTTTCTTGTTTGGCTCTTAAACTTAAGGAACAAAAGAGGCTTTCCGGCTTAGCGAGTCACAGAGGCCGTGTCTTCCTAGCAGGTTATCTGTCCACTTTGGAAGGAGTGGCATGAGGGACAAAATGAATTAGAATTCCACATCCATATATTCTCCTTCTAGTGTGCTTTGCTGTACTGTAGAATCTTGAAAGGGAAAAATGGCCTTTCCCAGACTCCCTTGTAATGGGAGTACCAGTACCTCCTTGTGATTTGGAGTCTGGCCAATCAGATTTGCTCATGTCAGATGTAGATGTATGGGAAGCCCTGCTTCTCCTACTTCTGCTGGAAACCATGACTGCAGAGATGCCGTTGTTTTCTTTCTGCAGCAGCCTTGGCGGAAGCTCTGTGGTCCGTGAATCCGCATCATGGGTGCTGAGATGCAGGATGTTGGGCAGCGAGTCAGCTGGTGCAGTTAGCAACAAGCACAGTGCAGCTGACCAGCTGGCAGCAATAGTCGTAGCCTTCTGGTAGTAACAGTTTCCTGATCACACTTCCTGACTGTAGCCATAAAGATGCATTGGGAGCCTGTGGCTTCCAGGTGGTAGAAGAGACAGTAGCTCCCTTGGGAACGGGGGGTATGGCTTTGGGAGTTTATTCCTGAAAACCCAACCTTAAGCTTGTCCTCCACGCTCAATAACCATCTTGTCCACTTAAGCACTGTAATAAATTCCATTTCTGCCTCAACTAGCTAGGGAGGAGATTTTCCTATGCAGCTCGGCCTGGCAGAGAAAAGATGGTCACAGTAAGAATACTGTCGGCCAACACTAAATGTTTACTCTGTGCTGGTACAACACATTACTTATGTGAATTATTTCTTCATTCAGTGCTCACAACAACCGTGTGAGTTAGGTGTGATTGTAAGTGAGCGATCTGAGGCTTACAGAGATTCTACCACCAGATTTAAAGAGGAGGGGATAGGTATCAAAAGTTCTAGTGTCTGGCTTATTTCATCCTAGTTCCATGGGGCAGATAGGCTGAGGATTCTGGGAGTCCAGATCTGAGACATCTCTCCCTCCTGTTGGAGATCTTGTCTGTGGCAAGGTCATATGTGTAGGATGTGACTGAACTGGGATTCAAGCACATCTCCTTGACTTCAGACTCAGAGCTGTTGCCCACTTCACAGCGTGTTCCAGCTGCCCCACGACAGCCCTTCCAATCTGAGATGACAGCTCTCATGGCTCCAAGACTGACTCTTCTCTATGCAAGGTAAGCACACCGAGTGGGTTCCCCTGTCCTGCCATGAGCCCTCCCTCCACCAGGGTCGCCCTCCTGCAGCTGCCAAGGGTCACTCTACAAGTCCACACACAAGACAGAATACGGAATTGTCTGAGGGCTCTGAAAAGCCTGGCAAGCCCCCAGCACAGAAGTCCTTAATCTCAAACTCTTGAGGTTGAGAGGAAACATCTCTCTCCTTCCACCACCTCCCCCCTCCCAAAGCCTTTCCTGTGGGACCCGTCACTTTGCTTTTGAGGCAGACGTGACATATATATTTCCACACAAATTAAGAGCTTGCCTTGCCAGGCCATTCTGAGCCAGAGGGTGTGTTCAGTCCCCCTTCTGCTCCCAAGCTAGAGTGGACTTTTGAGGAGTTATTTATGGGCAGAATGCTAATTACTTAACTACAAATATGTAAATACTTTGAGAATAAATTCATCACAATATATTAGGCATCACATTGTAATTAAGCTCAATTAGGTATTATTAGCAGTATTAATGTCATGTTGCTCAGGCCTGTTCCTAATGAATACATTAACCCAGCCTTGCTGCCACCATCCATGCGGGTGCATTATGATGGTGATGATAATAGACACATAATTAGAGCATATTGCTTTGCTTGCAAATTGTGGAGAGAAATATGTCAATGTCTTTAGAATTTAGATGACGAGCCTGACTGTGGACATGTTATTTGTGGTGTGGGGATTGTGTGATCTGGAAACAAGAGTTAACACCTTGGCATCTCAGTCTGTAACCCTTGACAGAGAGAAGTTTCTGATTTTCCTCCATGGATTAGGGTAAATGCATGGAAATTGGACATGGAATGGGAAGGTACCAGGAAGGTGCTTGGTCTACAAGGATGGTGAGTTTATTGTTCTCACAGAGCAGAGAAGTTAAGTATGGACGACGGAGACTAGAGAGGAGTGGAAGATGAGGCCAGACACCCATTTGCAAGGAGGCTAGGATCCAAGGGAGGGAGAAAAAAGCCATCTGCTCTCTCTCTCTCCGTATAACAGGTACCATGAGGCTGGTATTACAAGTAACCTCATTATGCAAAGTAGGACAACCAGAGATATCTACAGTCATAAAATAATAAGTGGCAGAGTCAGGGTTTGAGCTCAGTTTATCTGACAGTTGGTTATAAAAGATGGCAATGTAGGATACTCTGAAAATTTAGGCCAAGTGCAACAATGATGTGACAAGTGCTTATTCACCAAACTTTCAGCAAACACTCTCTGTGAACCCTTGCTCTGGGTGAGGTGGCTTCAGCAGGCTCAGGAAACACGCCCGTCCAAGTTGCACACATTTGCCTCTTGAAGGATGGGAGAAAAATCAAAGGCCCCGATAGAGAACAAAGTAAAGGATACGGTTAAAATCTCCCCTATGAACTGAGGCTGGGTTGGTCTGATGCTTTGTTGTTAGATAGCTAGGTTTTGAGTATTGGCAGTGAGACTGGTCTTTAATTCTGATTGGGAGAGTAAATTACTGGAGACAGAGATGGCTGTGGCTGCAAAAGGAAGCAGGCAAGCAGGAATGGTACATGGGCCCAACTGTGAAACTCCACTAACAACAACAACAATAAAATCCTCCCATGGAAAAAGTGGAAGCTAGCTTGGTATTATCTACTGCATTCCTGTGGCTAGTGCAACAAATCACCCAGGGTGTCAGTCAGGGTCTAGACACTGCAACCACTCTAGGAAAGTCTTTCAGTACAGGGGATGGTTAATGTGAGAGGCAGAAGGCAGGAGAGTGAAACCTTGTAACTGTCAACTGTAGAGAGCTGATGTTTTCCTTGGGGCTAGAGGGCCACCTGGAGGAGGCGAGGTTAGCAGGCCCATCCCACAGGAGCCAGCACCTAGGACCCTGGGGGCTTCAGAACTCTTAGAAACAGCAAGATGTGGAGGACACAGAATGGTCTCTCAGCAGGGCATCCTCATGGTAGTATGTCTGGAGAAGCTAGCAGGCAAAGGAACATGGGGTATGCAGTTCCTGACTTAGAGAGAGGAGCAGAGAAGGGATGGGAGAGGTAACAGAATAAAGAGGCAGGGCTGAGATTCAAGTCCAGGCTCCCTGACTTCTAATGCAGTGTATTCCACACGGAAATGAGAGTACGGTTTATTGGTTGGGAAGAGCTCACATTAAGGAGTACTCAGGAGGCCTGTGCCGTGACACAGTAGGTTAATCCTCTGCATGTGGCACCGGCATCCCATATGGGCGCCGGTTCTAGTTCCGGCTGCTCCTCTTCCAGTCTAGCTCTCTGCTATGACCTGGGATAGCAGTGAAGGATGGCCTAGGTCCTTGGGCCCCTGCACCTGCATGGGAAGACTGGGAAGAAGCTCCTGGCTCCTGGCTTTGGATCGGTGCAGCTCCGGCTGTTGCGGCCATTTGGGGGGTGAACCAACAGAGGGAAGACCTTTCACTCTCTTTCTCTCACTGTCTGTAACTCTACCTCTCAAATAAATAAATAAATAAATTTTTTTAAAAAAGATGTACTCAGGAAACAATGGTGATCATGAGGAGCATGATCTTAGCTTATGTTTGCATATTTCCTTAGTTTACTAAGAATGTTCACGTTAAATATTTCATTCAGCCCTAATAATCTTGTGACATAGATGATGATGTTTCTATTCTATAGAGGAGGAAATAGAAGCTAAAGGAGGCTAAGAGTGTCTTATGGTTTCACACTTGTTCAGTAGCACAGCCAGAATTTCTTTTTGAAGATTTATTTATTTAAAAGCCAGAGTTCCAGAGAAAGAAAGAGAGAGAGACAGACTGGGGGAGGTGGGAGAGAGAGAGAGAGATCTTCATCCTCTGGTTCATTCTCTGAATGGCTCCAACAGCTTGGACTGGCCCAGGCTGAAGCCAGGAGATTGGGACTCCATCCAGTTCTCCCACATGGGTGGCAGGGGCCCAAGTACTTGAGACGTCACCTACAGCTTTCCCTTATGCATTAGCAGGCAGCTGGATTGGAAGCAGGGCAGCCAGGACATGTCGATTTGGGCTTCACAAGTGGTGGCTCAACATGCTGGGCCACAATGCCTGCTCCTCAGACCCAGGATTTTATCCTAGAATAGTTTTACTCCAAATTCAAAGAGCTTATGAGAAGGCTGGGGGAGACGCTAAGACCCAGGGGTCTCGGATTTCCCTCCACAGATAATGACAAAGGCACACAGGTGCTCTGCCGAAGGAAACTCTCTGCATAGCTGACCTAACTGCTTCCCTCACTGGCCCAGGGCTGTGAGGGCACTGGGGCCCCCGAGCCAGTGTGTAAGATCTTCTCCAGCCCTGTCTCCATAATACACTGCGATTTCCAAAGAAGGGCCACGGAGAGCGATGTTTCCATTTTCTTACCGCCCCCAGAGTCAGGCAGGCTGGGGACAGCTGTCCCTTTTTGAGCAATGTTGAAACACGCACAGAAAGATGGGATGACTTGGCGTGGTGGGCATCTCCTCCCACTTAGCAACATAGGCTTCAGCCAAACTTATCTCCAGTCCCCAGACGAGGACAGCAGAGCTTGACTTAGCACTTGCTCTTTATCTGCCTGCTGAGCCCATCCCCATGAAGACCTTCCCCAGGTTGACCTGGTTGGTGCCTTCTCCATCCCCCATGCCAGGTTGTTTTACCCCTGTGCTATTGCTGAGTGGTTATTTTGTCAATTATCAGTCTCCTGTAGTGGACTGTGGATAGACTGCAAACTCTGGTGCCAAAGACTGGGTCTTAATCGCCTCCGTCTCCCAATGTTGTATTGAATAAATGAATTAATGCATGCACACATCTATGCATGACTAAGACTCAAACCCAGTTCTCCTGGGTCCTTCTTGTCAATGGTCTCTGTCCTGAAGAGCCCTTCTCTGATGCAGAAGAGAAAACTGTTGACCAAGGAGTGTCATTGGGGCTGATCTAATGGATTTCTGTTAAGCTCTAAGCCATCTTTCCTTTCTCTCTTAACAGGAGAGATCATGCAGGGAATTAAGTCCTCTTCCAGAGGCTTGAGTTTTGCTGAATTAGCAATTGCTGATCAATTAGACTAAAGGGATTTTTCTGAACATGCCAGCTCTTGATTTTTTTTTTTTAATTTTGCAGCTAAATTGTAAGAGAGAATGAGAGAGCAAGGAAGCAGCAGGTCTCAAGCGCAGGCAAGGGTTGCAGCAGAGTGCAGTGCTGCAGGAGGGGGTTGGATGGGAGGGTGGCCCCAGCTGAGCTCGGTCAGCCAGAACTGAGTCTTACCCTTCCAACAGAGCACTGAGCCCTCTTGGTGTCTGCAGGTGGGGTCCCGCCCCAGGAAGGGCAAGGGCCAGGGTTCCAGAGACTGTGATGATGTCCTGGTGGGAGGGAATCTGACAAGAACATGCTTCTCCCATTTTTCTAGTCTAGTACACAGAGGCCCACACAGAGACAGGGTAGTTCCCCAAAGAGTGCAGAGAGTCAGCGGCCAAGCAGAACTTGTCCTTACCTTGCTACATCTCTCACCACTGAACTGTGCCCAGGCCACTCTACTAAGTGGCATCTGCGGCGCTTGCCTGCTCAGGATCCATTTTCTTTCCTCTAGCAGTGCACTAGATGGATTCCACCCTGGGGAGCTGACTCCGGAAACTGGCTTGCTGGGTCTGTCAATCAAAGCGCCCTCCCAGCCCCAGCCACATCCACCCATGGGATGGGCTGTGAGCCAATCTAGGCAGCTAGATTCTCTTCCCCCAGAATGTGGAGCTTGTGGCATAGGCACTGGAAGTTATTAGACATCAGGCCTCCCAGGGCAGGGGTCAGTGATACATCCTGCTTCCTAGGCCCCGCCCTGCGGCCTTTCCCAGGCCTGCTGCCGAAACTGCTTTTTCCTTAGAGCCGGTGAGTGTTCTCATGTCCTCCTTCACCTGGTTAAGACAACCAGAGCTGGTTTTTGCTGGTTGTGATTAAAGAACCCAAAATAGCTCTCCCAGCCTGTTTCCTTAAGAACAGCCAGGAAGCAAGGAGAGGGAGGAGGAACGCCCCTTTCA